CTTGAAACTTGGTATGAGCAATCTTGAAGGTTTATAATGAACTATGAAAGTCATTTGGAGCATTAGAAGTCAAATTGTCCTTGTGAAAATCAAAACTCTAATTTGAAGCCTCAATGTTTAGGAGATGGTTTGACCTAATCAGCACTTGTGTAAACTTGAGGCATTGAAGATCTTTGTGACAAATGTCTTGAGAAAAGGGAAGACAAATTTTAGAGTACAACAGATATATGCCTCAGTCATTGGTGGATCGAAGTAAAACTCTCATAAAAAATATTGTTTGTAGTAGATATAGAAGAAAATATTTTTTTAATTATTTAATTTTAATTATGATTTTAATAAGAGAGATAACGTAATTATAATTATTTTAATCTAATAGACATATTTTTAAATATCATAGAGCTATCTATATTTTCTATTAACAATATTCAAATTAAATTTTTGTAAATTAATTTTTTTACACGTATTAAAACAAAAGTGAGATGTGAGAAAGCTAAAAAGAACACCTTGCTAGTTATCTATATCTTTTGCTTGCTTTATTTGATAAACGCATCCCAATTTACCACTCAATAGTTGTTGAGGCCCGTTATTCTCACAAAGAGCCAAATTATTATTAAACATTATATTATGTAATCATTTTCCATTTGTTGTTCTCAAATTTAACAAGTCCCATGATCTACAAATTGTTGTTAACTAAACTCACACTAGATCAAAGATGAAAACCAACCCTTTTATCTCAGTGGTATTTCTCTGTGCACTAATTTTTATATCTGGCATAGTCTTGAACCATCTAAAGATGAGAAACAAACTTTGTAAATATTATTTTTAAAATTTTTTTGGCTCTTTTTATTATGTATTATATTTAATAATCGTGTTTTATTTGTAGTTGGTGTATTTGAAATATCCAAAAAAAAAAAAAAACTTGGAGAAAATAACGATGGGGGCTTAGGAGGAGATGCACATAGTGAATATGGTAAGTAATGGTATTTTCCTTAGATTTCGAGGACTAAGGGTCTCCTAAGAAGAAAGATGAGGAAATAGTTGTTATTTCATTGATGTTTCAAACGAGGAAAAGTACAATGCATAAATAGGAAATCAGAATCTTAACAAACTGTAAATTTAGTGATTATTCTGTGATGACGTGTAAACGACCCACTACAAGGAACTAATACTAACAACCTTCTAGATGATCTCATTTTCTCATGGCAAAATCCTTGAACTTGATAGACTGTCTAATTGTTCTTTTGGGCTTGTCACTTGTGAGCCCAATTCTCCCTTGAGTCATAACAATACCTTCCCCATCAAAACCATCCTTGTCCTCAAGGTTGTAGATAGATGTTAGCTTCTGCCAAGGTTTCCAGGATGTGTCATCTGAAGAAAGTCCTCGCCATTGCACCAAAGCCTGTTGTTGAACTATTCCGTCAATCACTTCCTCCCTTGTAGCCAAAATTGCTAAAGGTGTGATCACCGGGTGATTGTCAACATCATCAAATGGAAACTCATCAACAGCAGTAGGGTCTGGTCCTCTATGCAATTTGAGAAGCGAACAATGGAAAACATTGTTAATTTTGGAATAAGAAGGGAGTTATAGTTTATAAGCGACCTTTCCAACACGCGCTATTATCAGAAACGACCCATAATACCTCTTAGAAAGCTTGTTGTACTTAGCATTGGCGAGAGATAATTGGCGATATGGCTGTAGTTTCACATACACCAAGTCACCTACCTTAAATTCTACTTCTCGCCTAGGGCATCCGTAACTAGCTTCATACGTTTCTGAGCCTTCTCTAGATTCTTACGAAGCACTTGCAAAATGGCTTCTCTATCGCCTAACATCCAGTCACATGCATCCACAAACGAAGACCCAAAAGTGTACGAAGGAATTGACTAAGGGGGTTTGCCGAACATAACCTGAAAAGGAGTCAAACCGGAAGCAATGTGATACGAAGTGTTATAGTGATATTCTGCCCATGACAAAAAACAAAACCAGTTGCTTGGCTTGTCATGAACAAACGCACGCAAGTATTGTTCAATGGTTCGGTTGGTGACTTCGGTTTGTCCGTCTATTTGTGGGTGATATGACGAACTCATGCGAAGCAAGGTGCCACTGAATTTGAATAAGTCAGCCCAAAATTTATTGACGAACACCGGATCTCTATCCGATACGATAGTCTTTGGGATACCCGTGTAAATTGCAGACCAAATTGACGAATACCTCTGTAACTCTATAAGCAGTAAATTGGGATGTCAGTGCTCCCAAATGGATAGCCTTTGAGAAGCGATCAACAACTACCAAAATTACAGAGTAACCATTCGAAATCGGCAACCCGGTGACAAAATCCATCAAAATGTCCTCCCACAAATTTTTCAGGAATTGGAAGTGGCTGGAGCAATCCACTGGGTTTGGCTGTGCTATACTTGGTCTGTTGGAAAACCACACAATTGGCTACAAACTGTTTTATATCCCTTCACATCTCTACCCAATGAAAATTTGTTGCAAGTCTCTTGAGCGTCTTTAAAACACCCGCGTGACCTCCAATCAGCGTCTCATGGAATTCCTTCATCAAAAGGAACTTGAATCGTGAGTCATAATTGATCTATATCTTGCCCTTATACAAAATCAGCCTTTCTCTGATGGTGTAACCTGGGTGACTGTCAGGTTCACCAAGGATTTAAGCCCCAAAATTCTTAACTTCGTCACTCATCTCCATCTATTTCTTAAGCTCCTCAAGGAACATAAATTACGGAATGGTCATAGCAAAGATGGTGGCCTTGCTTGGTTCAATCGATCTAGACAATGCATCTGCAACCACATTGCTCCTACCCGGCTTGTATTGAATCTCATAATGATATACCAAAAGTTTAGATAAGTAGAACTTCTGCTCAGGGGTTTGGATGACTTTGGTGAGGAGTTCCTTGAGGCTCTTGTGATCTGTTTGGATAATGAAATAATGTCCCAACAAATATTTCCTCCATCTCTTGACAACACTAGTCACGGCGTGCAACACTCTTAGATAAGTGGATGCTTTCATCATTCGAGGGAAAAAGACCTTACTAAAGTAAGAAATAGGGTGATCCCTTTGAAGCAACACTGCCCCCATTGCTTTTCCGGGCGCATCTGTTTGTACTACAAAAGGCTCTTTGAAATCAGGTAGAATGAAAACAGGGGTTGTGGCCAAAGCCTTCTTCAAGGATTCAAAAGCTTGTTGTTCTTCATTGGACCATTTGAAGGTGTCCTTTGGCAAGAGATTAGTCAGAGTAAGAGATAATGATGCATAACCCTTTACAAACCTTCTGTAAAACCCCGAAAAACCCTAAAAATCCTTGCAATCCTTTGACTGTTTTTGGTGAAGGCCAATCCACTACTGCTTGGATTTTCAACGGATCCGGTGACACAGAACCAACCTTAACAATGTGACCCAAGTATGATATCTGAGGTTGGTAGAATGAACATTTGGAAACCTTCATATGGAATCTATGATGAGATAGGATCCTACAGACCTGCTCCAAGTGTTGCAAGTGAGCCTCTAGTGTGGGACTGAATACTAAGATGTCATCGAAGAAGTCAGTGACCATTTTCCGCAACAATGGGAGAAATATGTCATTCATGGTAGCCTGGAAAGTAGCTGGGGCGTTACAGAGCCCGAATGGCATCACAAAATACTCGTAATTCCCATTATGCGTCCTAAATGCTGTCTTATGAACATCTTGGGGAGCTACTCTGATTTGATGGAATCCTGAAGTTAAATCTAACTTGGAAAATACTCTCGCAGCACCAAGTTCATCAAGTAGTTCATCGATAGTTGGTAAAGGGAATCGATCTCGAACAGTGATAACATTGAGTGCGCGATAGTCCACACACATACGCCAGGTACCATTTTCTTTTTAAGGAGCAACACCGGGGATGAGAATGGACTTGTGCTTGGCTGAATCCAACCTGTTTCTAATAGCTTAGCAACTTGTTCTTCAATCTCAGTTTTCTACGCATGTGGATAGCGATATGGCCGCACCTTGACAGGGGCAGCATTAAGGGTAAGGTTAATATGATGATCAGTGAGTCTTGAAGGTGGTAATGTGGTGGGTTCAGAGAATAGGTGGTCAAATTGGTGGAGAAAATTGTGAACATTAGGATCCGAGTGAGGCGTTGAGGGGAGGATTAGGGTTTCTCGATTAGGATCATAAATTTTGAGGGAAAAGAATTATGCTTCACAATTTGCTTTTGTCACTCTTTGTAATTGATGAATTGTGAAGGGTGTAGGGAAGGTACTAATCTCTCCTTGTAACTCCACACTCAAACCTTGCTGTATGAATTTCATGGTGAGGGTCTGATAATCCATTAGCACCGGCCCCATTTGTTTAAGCCATATGGCTCCCAAGACCACGTCAGCTCCCTGTAAGCTCAAAACGTAAAGTTCTGTGGTAAACCAATTACCCTGAATTAACAATTTCAACCCCACGCAAACATTAGTGCATTTTAACTCTTGACCACTCCCTACCATAACTCTCAAAGTTGGAGTTGGGCTTTGTGGAAGGCCCAATTTGGCTGCAATACTGGATTGAATGATGTTATGAGTACCGCCTCCATCCACCAAGATGTGGACCGGGTTTTCCAGAATCCGACCTAATACCCGAAAATTATCGGTGACTTGTGACCCAGCAAGAGCATGTAAACTCAGCTGAGCCCGTGGCGATTCTTCTGGAGGGGTTTCCATATCATCTGTCGTTTCTATTTATTCTGACTCTCCTTCATCTTTGGCATCCTCAACCACCATCAAGAACACCCTTCCGCTACAGCGGTGTTGTCGCGGCCATTTCTGATCACGGTTGAAGCAAAGCCCTTTTTCTCGCTTCTCTGCTAATTCGGGATCTGATAAACGACATAATCTAGGTTTTTGTGGGGTGTTGGTAGCAACCCCGGGACTTATCGTAGAGGAACTGGATTCAGCGGCCGCCGTGTTTGGTAGTTGTTCTGGAATGTATTTGGTCGCAAAATCTTGGTTTGATCATTGAACTTCTCTTCGTGGAGACGAGCCAACCCCGCTGCCTGCGTCATCGAGCTGGGTTGTTGAGCTAACACCTCCCTTTTTATTTATGTCTAAAGACCCGAAATAAAACAACTCAGTAGATACATGGGTGACAACTCCACAATTCGATTAGCTACGGCTTCAAACTTAGTAAGATATTCGGCAACAGATCCGGTTTGGGTAAGCTTGAAGAGGTTACCACGTAGGTCATCATACACAGTAGGAGAAAACCGAGTTTCAAGTGCTATGAGGAATTGATTCCATGAAATGATTTGGGAATTCCGATACATCCATTGGTACCAGGATAAGGCTGGTCCATCGAGATAGAATGAAGCTATGGTGATGCGGTATTACTCCAGTGTTTGGTGGTAAGTGAAAATATGTGAGATCTTGAAGATCCAACCATGGGTGTCACCGCCGTTGAAACGGGAAACATCCAGCTTTAGTCGTGGCCGATGGTTGTTGTCTGTCATTGACGGTGATGGTGAATGCACGGTATTCAGAGCAGTTTCATCTAACCGGTGACCTATATCATCCAGGCGAGAAAGCACAATGGACATTTGTTGAGCAAGCTCATCAATGCGCTCACTTGCAGAGGTAGCATGCGTTTTGGCCATGTTACTGGTGGAAGAGAGAATCTCTCAATGAGAGCACCAATGTTAAGTAACGGTATTTTCCTTAGATTTCGAGGACTAAGGGCCACCTAAGAAGAAAGATGAGGAAATAGTTGTTATTTATTTGATGCCTCAAACGAGGTAAAGTACCATGCATAAATAGGAAATCAGAATCCTAAGACCATGTGCAATGGGTATGTTGAGTTTGAACTCAACATGTAAAATCTCCTCCAATGGGTGTTGAGAGAGGGGTTGAGTGTGTGTTGGAAGAGAGAGGTGTTGAGAAAACTCAACACAATTGAAGCTGACCAAGGGCATGACGTGGCAGCGCCTCATTGGTCTGGGCCAGGCGCGTGTAGCCCACTCGCTGGGGGTGAGAGTGGGTCTTAATCCACGCAGAGAGAAAGAGAAAAGGGATAAGTGCAGTCACGTGGCTGTGCTTGATTGGCTGACCAGATTTTTATCCATTTAATACTTTGAACTCAATTATTTCGTTGCAAATTAATTTTTTTTTTTTTAACCAAAATTCATGATTTTTTTTTCTCTATAAATAGAGACTTGATTCATTTGATTTGGACACAAAAAAAAACTAAGTTTTTCACTATCTTAATTTTATTATTAGTGTTTATTTTGAAGTTAAGTGTCTTTTTTTAGTGAAATGGATCCCAATAATCATTTTAACACTCAAAATTCTGCTAATTTTCCATTTAACCAAAATCCCAACAATTTTCCAAATCCCAACTATTATCAAAATCCAAATCAATTTTCCAACCAACATCCTCAAAACATACCTAATTTTGGTTTTCCACCAAATTTCAACCAGACATCCTCTGTTCCAAACTTTCAAACATATTATGGATCTATGCCGAGAAATCCATCTCAAACACCCCCGTTTAATGGTTATGTGACAATGGCGAATGCAAATTTTCCAAGTGGTGGTGTACCTGAATTTCCCGAGTTTTCAACACAACTAACTATTGGTGGCATGATTGTTTCTAATGAAGTCGGTCCGAATTCAGAGGATTCAACTCCTAAGAGCAGGAAAACTCAGCAACCAGCATGGAACACTGAACAAAATTTGGTTCTAATTAGTGGGTGGATTAAATTTGGAACAAGCAGTGTTGTCGGGAGAAACCAGAAAGGTGAAACATATTGGGGTAAAATTGCTGAGTATTGTAATGAGCATTGCTCATTCGATCCTCCGCGTGATGGACCTGCATGCCGAAACCGTTTTAATTATATGAACAAAGTGTTGGGTAAATGGATTGGCGCTTATGATGGCGCTAAGCATATGCAAGGAAGTGGTTGGTCGGAGAATGATGTTTTGGCAAAAGCGCAGGAATTATATGCATGTGGGAAGAATGTTAAATTCACCTTAATGGAAGAATGGCACGCTCTCCGTGATCAACCACGTTATGGTAGTCAAATAGGAGGAAATATTGGCTCAGGAAGTAGTGGATCTAAGAGATCTCGCGAGAGTGATGCATGTGGCTCAAACACTGTAGAATCCAGTGCTCGTCCTATAGGAAGGGAGGCAGCTAAAAAAAGAGTAAAAAGAAAAGCAAGGAATATGCCTCGGAGGTGGTGGACAAAGAATGGGCTGAATACAAAGAATTCAAGACGAAAGAGCTTGAACGATTGGACAACATAGCGTTGATGCAACAGCAGGCTAACAATATAGCCTTGGAGAAGACTAAAACCAAGAAAATGAAGATGTATCTAAAGCTAACTTCCGAAGAGCATCTAGATGACCGGAAGAACCAGCTGTTGAAAAAGTTGGAGGCAGAACTGTTTGATAATTAATTTCAATGAAGTATTTGTCAGTGTTGTGTTTGCTTTAATTATTGTTGTTTCAATATGCCAGTGTAGTGTTTGCTTTAATTATTGTTGTTTCAATATGCCAGTGTAGTGTTTGCTTTAATTATTGTTGTTTCAATATGCCAGTGTAGTGTTTGCTTTAATTATTGTTGTTTCAATATGCCAGTGTAGTGTTTGCTTTAATTATTCCTTCTCTGATAATTAACTCTATACAATAAATTATTTCGAATCCGTCAGTGGTCCACCACCCAATTCGAATCTATTCCTTATCTGATAATTAACTCTATACAATAAATTATTTCGAATCCGTCAGTGGTCCACCACCCAATTCGAATCTATTCCTTATCTGATAATTAACTATATACAATAAATTATTTCGAATCCGTCAGTGGTCCACCACCCAATTCGAATCTATTCCTTATCTGATAATTAACTATATACAATAAATTATTTCGAATCCGTCAGTGGTCCACCACCCAATTCGAATCTATTCCTTATCTGATAATTAACTATATACAATAAATTATTTCGAATTCGTCAGTGGTCCACCACCCAATTCGAATCTATTCCTTATCTGATAATTAACTATATACAATAAATTATTTCGAATCCGTCAGTGGTCCACCACCCACATCCATTTATATATAGGGACTCATACATCCATTTATGTACCAATATCCCAAATCCCATCCAATCTACCTCCAATATCACAAAAAAATGGATCCATCACAATATCATTTTGATATCGCAGCCTACAATCAAAATCGTGAAATTGAAGAAAATTATATAGTCAATCGATTTAGAGAGCGTAGAAACAAAATATCGGAAGATAATGCACCTCGTAGTAGAAAATATCTCAATAGAGATCATGCAGCGGCAAACCAAAGACTAATTGACGACTACTTTGCCAATGAGCCTACATATGACGATGCAATGTTTCGTCGTCGTTACCGGATGAAAAAAAATGTTTTCCTTCGAATCGTTGGGGACCTTTCAAGTAGTGATAACTACTTCACCCAGCGAGTTGATGCAGCCAATAAAGAAGGTATATCACCCTTAGCAAAATGTACCACAACAATGCGAATGTTAGCATATGGTGTGGCAGCAGATGCGGTCGATGAGTACATCAAAATAGGAGGTACTACAGCATTGGAGTGCTTACGTCGATTCTGTAAAGGAATCATACGCTTGTACGAGCAAGTGTATCTGAGAGCACCAACCCAAGATGACCTGCAAAGAATACTGCATGTTAGTGAAATGCGGGGGTTCCCAGGGATGATTGGGAGTATTGACTGCATGCACTGGGAGTGGAAAAATTGTCCTAAAGCATGGGAAGGACAATTTACTAGAGGGGATAAGGGAACCACCACAGTTATTCTTGAAGCAGTTGCATCTCATGACCTATGGATCTGGCATGCCTTTTTTGGATGTCCGGGAACGTTGAACGATATAAACGTTCTAGACCGGTCACCAGTGTTTGATGACGTGGAATAGGGAAAGGCTCCAAGTGTGAATTTCTTTGTGAATCAACGTCCATATAATATGGCATACTATCTAGCTGATGGTATCTACCCTTCTTATCCAACTTTCGTCAAATCGATTAGACTTCCTCAAAGTGAACCCGATAAATTATTTGCAAAATTTCAGGAGGGATGTCGGAAGGACATCGAACGTGCATTTGGAGTGCTCCAAGCTCGATTTAAAATCATCCGTGAACCAGCTCGCTTGTGGGACATAGCTGATTTGGGTATCATCATGAGGTCATGCATCATATTACATAATATGATTGTTGAGGATGAACGAGATTCATATTCTCAACGTTGGACCGATTTTGAGCAGTCTGGGGAAAGTGGATCTAGTGCACCACAACCATACTCGACCGAGGTGTTACCCGCTTTTGCAAATCATGTGCGTGCTAGATCAGAGTTCCGTGATCCAAATGTTCATCAAGAATTGCAAGCCGATCTAGTGAAGCACATATGGACAAAGTTTGGAATGTTCCGTGATTGAATTATTTGTGTGTTGTATTGCATTTTAAATTATTTGTATCGTACTAATTACGTTACTTGTGTGTTGTATTGCATTTTAAATTATTTGTAACGTACTAATTACGTTAATTGTGTGTTGTATTTTAAATTAATTTAAGATGATTTGTATCGTATCCAATTATTTAAATAAATTTTGTTTTTATTACAAAAAATTAAAAAATAAATTATTAAGTATTTATTATTTTAATTTAATTTTAATCGATAATTGTAATTTTATGTAATCATAAAAATAAAAATAAAATTTAAATAAGAATATGAAAATAAAAAGTGGTGGGGTAGGGTGTTGAGTGAAAAACCATTGGAGAGGGTAAAAGTTGAATGAGTGTTGAGTTATTAGGTGGAAGAAAGAGAAAATGATGTGGAGTGTTGGGAGTTGAAAAAGTGGGTGTTGAGTTTTTCAACCATTGTAAATGGTCTAACAAACTGCAAATCTAGTGATTATTCTGTGATGACGTGTAAACGACCCACTACAAGGAACTAATACTAACAACCTTCTAGATAACTTCATTTTCTCATGACAAAATCCTTGAATTTGACAGAGTGTCTAATTGTTCTTTTGGACCTGTCACTTATGAGCCCAATTCTCCGTTGAGTCATAACAAAATATCTAAGAAAAGGATATAATGATGGGGATTTTGAGTTTTCGTTAGAAAGTGGAGGTTGGAGAGGTTCGATAAATAATGGAGGACTTCATGGAAGAGGAAAAAACTAGGGGCTTGAAATTAAACTAAATATTAATCTATCTATATGAAACAATTTAAACATAACTCAAATTAATTAACAAAAACCACCACAAAAAATTATGGTGCCTAAAAGAGTTATTGTGACATGAAATGTCACTCACAAATTCCACATCCAATCATGGATGGAACAAAACATGTTCAACAACTAAAAACAATACAAGTTTAACAAAACATAAAAAATAAGCACTAAACAAAACATAAAAGACTAAAAGAACATAAAATAGCAGTAAAGAATCCCCTCTAAACATCATCACCGCTCATTTCATCATCCTCCCCATCTCCCCCATCATCATTTGCTTCCTATGATTCATCTTTAACCTCCTCTAAATCAACTGCCTCATCCTGAACAAATAGCCTAACCGCAGACTAATTAATAAAATTTTGGAATTCATCCAGAGTTTTCAACTGGTGTCTAGCCTCATGCGGAGCTCCCATATACAGATGTAACATGTACATAGAATCATGAAGAGAAACATGGGCTAAATGGCTAGATTCATTCTAATCCCAAGTGTGGGTAAAGTTGCTTGGAGTCTTAGATCCAAATCATTACATCCTTGTTGTTGTGCTGGAGAGGCTGGAGCATTTCCTATTTCTCTTGACCTTGTTACACAGTATCTCTCAATGTACCTCTTATCCTTAACACCATCAATTGTCTCATGAAACAAAAGACGAAATCATCATTTGGGCTCTAAGGCACAACCCCATAACCATCCCTAGAAAAGATAAACTGCAAGGTGTTCGGTTTCCCAATCTATGACAACTTTCAGCAATCATCTTGATCTCATTAGCAATGATTCTTGAAACATCTACTTATCTATCATCCAAAATGTTGTACAAGAGATATGCAATGTCCTGAGGAACCGAAGAGGCATGCCTTTTGGGCCTTGTGTTATGAAGGATTAAAGTCATAACCACTTGAGCTTTGGTCTTAATATTCTTTCTCAGGAACTTCTTAGTAGCCCAACAATATTGGTTTCACAAGACTTTCCTCTTAAACAAATGGCATCAATTACTAGATTGAGATTCCAATTACCTCGAGCTAGATGCTTTGCATACTCATCAGGTTCACCTTTTGGGAAAGTGAAAGGGTTTCCAAGATATGCATTAACAACATCATAACATAAAGAGATATAGAACCTTCTCACCATGGTCAGAAAAGAGTAGGGCTGATCTTCAATGCAAATAGCATTTGCATAAAAATCTCGGATGACCTCATAGTTCGGGTTGGTGGGAGGAGTTGCCAACTTTTTCCAATTATTACCTTCAATAAGCTGATGGCATGTCCTAAAAGTACCTTTTGGATCAATGTTAAAAGTGCATTTTGACCAAATGCTTCGGCTTGAAATCTGTGTGTACCTCTCTTCTTACTCTGGCCCTAAGAACTTCTATTAAATCCCATAAATCTTGGTGCAGATGATGTTTCTACAACAGTCTTTTTCTTCTTGGAAGCAATGATTTTCTTAGGAGCCATGCCCCCAAAAGTAAACAACATACGCACAAACCACATTAAAAAGAAACTAAACATCACAAAAACCTCCATATGTAACCCTATTGGAATCATTACACAACATAACACAACAAAAAAGTCAAAAAGTAAAAACTGGAAAGCAATAAGGGCGTTTGCAACACTCCATTTTTGAATTAAATTATTTTCATTAAACTATTTATGCGATGTGGTGTTTTTGGTGTTTTTTTTTGTAACGTAAGAATGTGTCGTTATACCTTGGCGAGAGGTGAGTACCTTAGATTTATTAAATAATTAAGGTAGGGGTGTATGATTAATTACGTAGTAGCAGAGTTACATTGAGAATGTGATATATTATATTATTATTATAAATAATTATGGTTATGTTGATAATTATAATTTTATAATTAAATAATTATTTAAATGGGGAATGGAAAGATTGGAATTATTATTTAGGGTTCTAAGGTAAGTGTTGGAATAAAATATAATTGAGAAGAGAGAAGAGAAAATACAACATAGAAAATAGAGAAGAATCCTAGAAGAGAGAAGAAGAGAAAGAGGCTAGGGCAGGAAATTTCACTGTAAGAGTCAAGAACCGACATGGGATTCTAACGCTATAACGAGTTGCATAATAATGGGGCATGATTGTGATTAGGTTACATGATTGTGTGTTCTTGATTTCTCACTATTTTTCTTTATGGGGTTTTACTTATTGATGAATTTTTTTATGCATTTTTGTGTGTAATTGGTGAAATTGATAATGTAAATTGAGTTGGATTGATGGGAAATCTTTGAAAATGATTGGTAGGATTAAAAGACATTGTTTTTATTGAAAAATTGGAAGTTTGGGGTTTGAAACAATGGAATTCGTATTTAGAAAAGTTGCAGACTTTTTGATTCTACATCAGGTGTAATCGATTATTGGCCTGGAGATAACCGATTACTGTGTGCAATTTTGGGTGTAAAAGGGAAAATATGAAGGTGTAACTGGTTACTGGTCTGGAGGTAACGGATTACCGAGTGAAACAGAAGCGCAATATTTTTCAGTTACAAGAGTGTAACCGGCTACCCTCCTGGTGGTAACCGGTTACCGCTGAAGCTGTCAGATTTTTCAAAATTTGTAAAATTCATAACTTTTGACTCAGGTATTTGTTTTATGCACTATTTGGACCGATGAAAAGATAAAATCTTTTACTATACTATTAAAATATTGGAATACAGTATATAATTATTTGACCTAAATCGATACCTATCTGTGTGTATTTTTTACTAATGTTCTATGATGAATGTTGTGATTGAGTATGATGATGTTGTTTGAATGACTCAATTTTTTTGCATGATATAATGCATGATAATGATGATGACAAGGTCCTGTATTAGCATGGAATTGATGGGTAGATATATCAATGCGTTTTACGTTGTTGCATGTCGGTGTCACATGCATTCATGATAAGGACTTATGCTCTGTTAGATGGCCTATATTGGCATGATGATGAGAGCTTATACTATGTTGCTGCCTTATTCGTTATAATGGTGAGGGATTATGCCCTGTTGGTACCCCATGTTTTAAGTCAGTGTCAGACTCATTGCATTACATTATTGTTATTAACTTGACGTTGTAATATGTGGATGATACATGTTGAATTTGTGTTGCGTAGATGATGTATGTTGATGTTGTATCATGTTGAACTTGTATTTTGGATATGGCGATTTGATTGTACTTATATGATGTGTATGATATATGGATTATACTATGATTGATACTAAGTATTATTTGGATTGTTGATTGTATTTTGATATGCATTGTGATTGCTATAAAAAAAAGTAAAGGTGTGAGGTAAAGAAGTATGATTATGTATACTTATATTGCTATCTACTTATTATTATGCATTCTTTTATATGGTTATGACATCTCACCCCTTCTATTTGAATTTTTCCTCTATGTGGGTAACATGTAGATGATCCGAAGTAAATTGAGGTCGAAGTTAGCTGAGGAGTTGCCTCACTTTGCGTAGATTGAGTCTGTGCTAGCTCTGATACGTAACACTTGGAGATTTTGTACTTTTTTGTTTATGTTCGGAGTAAACTTTTGTAAAACTCCATTGGTTGGAATTAATTAATGTTTTACGATGAATTTTAACTTATGATAATTATAACTCATGTGGATGAATTGAGAAAAATTATTGTCGATGTTTTTCCGCTGCAAATAAATGAAAGATTTTTCAGACATGAAGTATATGTGGTTCTTTATGTTTTTATGAATGTGTTACATATTTCATACTGTTGAGCATGTGTATGTATGAAGGTAACATCTTGAATATTGAAATATTTTAAATTCCTTTGAATTTTATTTAATAATAACGTGGGAGATTTAGGATGTTATAATTAGTGGTATCGAAGCAGGTCGGTTCATCCGATCAAGTTGACGAGTCAATGTAGTATGATAGTGGAGTACTATTAATGGGTTGTTCCTTAGTACACGGCATATGTGTGAAATACTATCAGTGCTTTCTTGATTTGTAATCACTTGTTTGTAGGAGTGAGATTGAAACAAGTGGGGGAGAAGCTTGTGCTCCTCCGAAATGGTTCAGGTGGGGACAACTGGTTTAGTATGTCGTGAATTGCATGGGTGCAAATGTTAGTGAGGTTGAGTTGCTTTATGATTTCGAAGGAAGTATGGGTTCGAGATTTATGCCTAGTGGTCAGTCGAAGTGTCCTTGAGAGGGAATGATAATGTACTTATGTTTTTCGCAT